GTATACCGGTATATCGCGATTTTTTGTTGCGTGATACGTATCGTGATACGGAGACCTAAATACCGGTATTTAGGTACATATTATAAAGTCCAGAAATTATTCATTAATTTGTTCAATCTTTCAATTTACAATTATAGAAAGTCTAAAAAATGTTGTGAAAGGTGAAAAGAACGGCATCTTACCATCCAAACATGATTTATGTTAGGTACATAAAAATTTCAAAAGGTGAAATTTTGTTTTTCTAGCATATTTTTAAGAAAAATAATGACAATTTATTAAAAATCATTGTAAAAAGTGCTTGTAAAAATATCATGATATTATCGTGATATTTAGGGGGAAAAATCGTGATATATCGCGATACGAAATTTTTAGCGATACCCATCCCTACCAACCATGCCAGCCAACAGCGCCGAAGTGTGTTGACGACGTTCAAGTAGCAGTGAAAAAGCGGAAACGTGGGTTTCTAATGCTTTTAAACTTATTGAAAATAGTAATGTTTATGCATTATAGATACAAAAATTTCAAAATACATAGTATACTGTCACATCGCAAACTCAAACACAGCATAAACATGTTACATGTACGTAACATTAGGCCTAAGGGGTCCCCAGATGCGTGCAGACGACAACATTCGTATTCTTTTGTATTGCAACTTCTGCTCTTAGTATAAATTCCCTTTGATATTGTAAATGCAGAATATATATCCCAAATTGATAAACATATTGTAAGAAAATAATAAGATAACATCTATAATTTTTAGCTGTTTACATTCGTAAGAAACTGGGTCGCTTCATTCTATGGTGTCCTATGCGGGTTAAAAAATGGAATGTTTCTGAAACGTCATAGAACATGTAGAAATTATTTGAGTCTAATCTACAGGCTTAGGTTCATAAAACAAAGTCGGATAGACAAAATAATGATTTTACATTTTTTGAACAACGATATTATACCAGTAAATTATAATCTTTTTTTCTAAAATAAATTTTACAGGAAAGTCTTGTTTTCACAAGAATCACAAATGAAGAACTTTAGAAGAGAGCAGGATTTAAGAACCACTAAAAACAGATGGAGAAAACCATGCAAATCAGATTGAGAAAGTGGGACTGGATATAACAGATTGCAGGGAAGCCACCATCCAACACCACAAACCAGGACCCAATCCGGAACCCGCAGGGCAAGAGGAAAAGAGGACATCCAACAAACTATTATGAAGTTTTTATTTGTTAAATGATTACTTTTTGTTCATAAAAAGATTTTCTTAACAATTATTACCTGAAATTATCACACTTTTATGAATATTTGGTCAATAAAACACATACTTTGAAGTCTCAATGCCTTGATTTATTTTCATTAAATAAGTTTATGAGGTATTTTATGGTCTAATACCTTTTTTAAAATGAAATTTCCCATGCTCTATTTTGGCCTATGTTCGAGGGGTTGAATCTCTCTTAGATGAACACTAACATACACTTTTCTTGTCTTTAAATTATTCCTTGGATATTACACTTTCAGAAAAATATAAGCATGTTGAAAGTTTAATGCACGTTTTTTTCCGGGTATCAGAAGAATGCATCTTTAAGTCAAAGAACATAGTTTATTAGCGTAAGGATTTCTGATAATCAGTGTTATCGTAGTTCTCTACACTAACGAGGAAAAACAGGAGAGGGAACCAGTCAGGCCTGTTTGTTTACATTCATCCGTAGTACCAGATTAATTTTTATTCTGACAAAATCGGACCGTGATATTTGGATCGAAAACTCACTGTCAGTGTCTTATAATTTATATTGCTAGTTTTAAATTTTTTTTTTTTTCATCAGAATTTTTAATCTGATATTCTTGTTATTTATCTGTTAACACAATATAAACGTATGATTCATGTAAGAAATTCATTTTACTCTGTTAATGAGCCCGGCTCTCTGTACTTCTGAGTACTTTGAGTTAAAGCGATATGCGATATATTGGATTCTAGAACAAGTCTATCAGAAAAGGCTTATAAATTATTTTAATGCATGAATTTCATAACAATTAAGTGTTTTATTACCCATTTCAAAGTTCTTGTTACGAATAACATTTCAAATTAAAACTTTTAAAGACTGTAAATTCAACATGTATAAATAAAATTAGAACAAGTCCATCAGAAAAGACTTATAAATTATTTTAATGCATGAATTTCATAACAATTAAGTGTTTTATTACCCATTTCTAAGTTCTTGTTACAAAGAACACTTCAAATTAAAACTTTTAATGACTGTAAAATCAACATGTATAAATAAAATTTTGGCATTATATCATTCTAAGGTAATGGTGAGATCAAAACAAACCAATGGCTCTGTAGAATCGTGTCATTTTTTTTTTAATTTATTTAATTCTCACAAACTTACTTATGAAGCATAAATGAACAATGATTTGAAAAGCTGTGAGCAAAGTGTCAAACATTAAATTTTATTGAAACTGTTATTAAAATCAAACCCTGTCAGTATTTTCAGTACCTTGATTAGTAGAGAACTATCGAGTGAAATATCGAGCCCGTTGCTAACAAAATTGTTTAAGCGATAAATTGTTTTTATAAACAAATCCTGTTGCGTGAGCGTGATTCGGAGTTAGATACCCTGTGTTATTATTATACTTTAGGGTTAAAAGTTTATTTCCGAAACAGGTGCCTGTCATATCTGTGCCAACTTTCATTTTGATGTGAATTGTAGTTTTGTTCACACATAGATAGTTCGCAAACTTCAAGTTCTAATCACCATGCACTCATATAAACACACAGACAGCAGTGTTTTCAAAATACAATATTTACATTTCTAATATCTTTGTCCGAGATAAAATTACATATAGTTAATGTACTTTACTTCTACGTAAATGTACTGGTTCAACGATAAGCGCGGTTTAAAAAAAAATCACTTTCGGGTTTGCGGAATCAAGAGCATGTAAATATAAGGAAAAACTCTCAGATATTTTGATTTCATGACGATGATCAATCGATTGCCTTGCGTGATAACTTTATGCATAAAGTGCAAATTATCACGCAAGCCAATAGATTGATCACATCATGAAATAAAAAAATTAGACAGTTATTCCTTAAAACAACAATTATTAGAATAATAATTGTATTTATGTATTTAATGCGATAATTTGTTTGGAGGTTTCCGGAAACATTTACGTTGGTAAATTGTAAAAATTCTCAGACCCACGCCTTGCCTGAGGGATTAATTGTAATAGAATGTGTAAGGTCACGTGGTCAGCTCAGCGAGTCATTCACACTCGCGCGCTCAAGTAACATGAGGCACGTCTGTTTTAAACCCACCTCCATGGCATTCCTATCCCTTAATATGATCATTAATGTGTCTTGTAAAATTTATATTATATTATAGTTTTTACTCAATTGTTTTACTGCTTCTATGTATTTGGTTTTGATTACGATCTTTTTGCAAGCTTTTTCTTTAAGGTTTTGATTGCTTTTTGATCTACCATCTTTTTGCCAACTTTTTCTTGTGATGTTTGCCTATTTTGTTTTTATGTGCCATCTATTTGCTAACTTTTTAATATGATGTTTTGGTTGTCTTGTCTTACAGATACTTTTTTTCTAGTCATTTTTGGGGGATCAGACATTATCATATTTTACGTAACTGATAAGCAAAGCTTGTGAATCTGATCCCCCTTCTTGTTTGTTAAATTGTAGGGATGTGCGATTTTACCGGTATACCGGTATATCGCGATTTTTTGTTGCGTGATACGTATCGTGATACGGAGACCAAAATACCGGTATTTAGGTACATATTATAAAGTCCAGAAATTATTCATTTATTTGTTCAATCTTTCAAATTACAATTGCAGAAAGTCTAAAAAATGTTGTAAAAGGAGAAAAGAACGGCATTTTAGCATCCAGACATGATTAATTTTACATATATAAAAAATTCCAAAAAGTGAAATTTTGTTTTTCTAGCATATTTTTAAGAAAAATTATGACTATTCATTTAAAATCATTGTAAAAATTGCTTGTAAAAATATCATGATATTATTGTGATATTTTGGGGGGGAAATCGTGATATATCGCGATACGAAATTTTTAGCGATACCCATCCCTATTAAATTGTTCACATTTATACCGTCATTTTAATAAATGACATTATTCATCAACATGAAAGTGTTTTATTTGACTTTTACAAAATTAGCAAAAACAAGCTGCGGTGATCTTGCCTATAAGCATTAGAAGACATAAATAATTTTTTTTCTGTCGGTCTAATAAAAAAAAGAAACACTAGGCTGCATACTTTTGTACATACAGTTTGTCCATATCGAGAGCTTATGTTTTATATTACCCGGAAATAGCTGCTAAAATCAGGTGGTCACTGTGAGTTGATACAAATTCCTTGATCGTAATGTATGTACGAGATATAAAACTTTTTAATAGGTTTTATGCAAAAATGAGGAATTTTTATTTCTGTATCAGAAGAGTAGAATTCTAGCAGCAGTTTCTTGTCTCTTTAGATGTTTTATATGCTTTCTTTTTCAATCAAATTAACAGATAGTAATAAAAAAAAAACCATACCACAGGTATGAGTTGAAATGCTGTTTAATGAAGATTATTAAATTTCAATCTAGTATTTAACAACTGTACACTTAAGTTTGACAAGCAAAATACTGGTTAAAATCAATACCAAGTAATATTTACATACATTAGCAAAATGTACAAGTCAAAGTTTAATAATATGTACAAATGTATCTTAAGATATTTGGTACATATTACCAGTTGCAGACACAAAGCGTTGTATAAGCATCAATTTATAATATCCGAATTATTATATTTAAATGCAAAACAATAACTAAAATTACAAATGTTAGTGGCAGAAATATAGATAATTATACAGACTTCCAAATCACAGTTCTTTGTCAATAAATGGGAAAGGGGGGTGTGTGAGGGATACTAAAAAATCTCTCTCAGTCTCCTCTTAAAAAATCGGTCTAATTCTCTCCACATTTTGTACATAATGACGCTAACTTTCAGCCAATCAGATTGCAGCAATAGCCCTAAGGCTAATAAAGGGGGAAATATGCGGAGACTCTTTCAACGGCAAACATGTGCAACTAAAATACTATATGAACAAATAAATGTGCTGAGCTAAACACAAATATTGAATAAGAAAGAAATTGAAAGATTAAGTCATTTGTCATTATAAAACTTTAAACTTTCATAAATGTTAGCTGCATTTAAACAATAATTACATCATACGCGAATCAAGTGTTTACAATGAAGACATAAGCTCCTATATTTCTTCTTATCTATAATATTTAGCGTTTTTCATGACCTCTATAATTCTTAATTTCTTTTTGTAAAATTTCTTATTGTAAAGTATTCATTTAAAAGTTAACATTTAGAAAATGATAACTTAAGACAAAGTGAATGTTCAATAGAAGCGACCTACTTTGAGTTAGCATAAAAAAAGTGCATGTAACATTTAAAATACGCTACTTGAATTTTTCTATTCTGAATGATGGAACCAAATTTGGTAATGTTTTATTTCATTTCTACTTCTTGAAGTTTTTCTCGCATTTCATCTGGAACTTTTCTTCGTAACTCTAGTAGCATAAAACCCCCGGATACAAGTGCTGCTAGCATCCCAAGAATGCAGAAGGCAAAAGCAAAGTGAAATTCAAAGCCTTTAAACTTCTCATCATTAGATTTAACGTTGTCTACAAATAATCCGACTGACATAATAATGGAGACAGCTGCAGAAAAACAAAATAAATTAATTAGAGTTGTGTGTGTATTGTCCAAAAAATTCTACACGAAACTTTTTTTTATAACGTGAATCAAATGTGACAGTCTCTGTGTTATTCTTATCTCGAGTTTAAATGAAAATATCAAATCAACTTAGAATACAAATTAATATTGTTAATATATTATAAACGATATCGATATAATACAAATATTGACTGGGATTGAGGAAAACACTGGTTTTCATAGTTTCCAAGGAATGAAATATAGTTCAACACAGAGCGAGGGGCAATATTTTCATCCCGAGAAAGAACAACGAATATGCAAATAATAATAAGATTGAAGGGTTTATTACGGGCCAAATATATATAGATTCTACTAGTACCTTTAACGTGTACATATCATGACGCTAACTTTCAGCCAATCAGATTGAGCAATATGCACGAAAAAGGTACTAATATGTTTTGTATCATTGAAATCACGCACTGAGTTATAACCATGATCTATCAATATCACGTTCATACAAAATGTTCATATTGTGCATATTCCCATGTGCTGAGCTATGAAAACATCATATATTTCACGAATAAAAAGAGCACGTGATTCGAAAGATAAGTCATGTTTTCAATTTTCTAAAAGCTTTTATGACGGCTGCATTTTTTGTATCCCAATTTTTAGCTGGTATTTAAATCAAAATTGAAAATTCTGTAGGCCAGTTAGGAAACCTAAACATTTCACAATTAAAGGATTTGTACCTCAAGGAACAAGATTCTACATTTTTTCATTTTTAACTCCGAGTGGCTTTCTTTGAACAGTAAAAAAAAAACAACTGTGTTTAATTTGGTATACAGATTCATAAGAATATCTAGGTCAAGTTCTGTTTAAGGTAGTCCGATCCCCAGGTTTATAAAATTAGCAGTTAAGTAATTAAAGATTTAAAAGTAATCATTCCACAGAAATGTAAATTTATCCACAGTATTTCTTTAAAGATTAAAGATTAAAGTTAATCAAATTATATAGGAAAAATTGTCAAATCTCCAATATTTTTGCAGAAAAAGCGAATTGGAATATCAGCAATGTATTTTCTAATTGCAAATTAATCAACAAATATATTTTAGGTTAAAAAACGATAGGTATCCAGGCATTCAGAGAAATTGTCATGATTTTAATACTTATTTGGTATTGTTTTCATTCTTCTATTTCCGTCATGTATTCTATAATGCATGGTGTAAAAGGCTTTTTCTATCATTGCAAGGCACCACAAATCACTTCTTATTTCATGTCATGCTAATAAGCTTTTGTATCTAAGGCTGGATTCAAGAAAATCTTATTTCTCTAAAACTGTATTATTTTTTTCCCCCTTTATAGGGCATAAATGTAAACTTTTATAACACCTTTTCTAAGACTCCAAAAAGCCTTGAATCTTATAAAGATTAATAAAATAAAAATTGTTGCATAAAAAATTACATTTTCAAACTTCATTTTGATGTTTTTCAAATTAAAATATGAATTTTAGGAGTTATCCTTCCTAGCTGAGGATCGGATATCCTTAAGTTACAATCGAGCCATTTTGGACAGAGTTATGCCCCTTGCTGCATGAAAAATGCAAAATAAATTAATTATCTTGTGTGTGTATTGTCCAAAAAATTCAAGAGATTTTTTTATAACGTGAATCAACTGTGATCAAATATATATTATTCTTAACCTGGTTATAATGAAGGAAAATATCAAATCAAGTTATACAAATTAATTTTTTAATATATTTGAGCATTTTCAAATGTCATGTACACTTAAGCACATGAAATTGCAATAAAATACGATTTTTTTTTCATTTCTTGCTACTGGACAGTGGTGTGATCTTTCACAGATATATCACGGAAAACTGTTATGTATCAGGAAAAAAGGAATGGCTGAGATCAAAGGAAAACCTCACCAACAATGATACAAATATATATATATAACGTTTACCCTGCGCAGGCTGCTAAATCGGTACTGCTTGATGCTTAGTCAATCTGTTTAGGACCCTTCATATCGTTTTACACTGGAGTAAAAATACATTGCATTTTTTTTAAAGAACTAAAGACGGAGTTCAATGTCTGTAATTTTGTAAATTCTATGGTCGATACTATGACCTTGTCAGCAAAAACAAATAATTATTGAGTCTAATTCTGATGGACGTTTTTCATACTTATCGTTAAGCCATTATTTACACGTCACGGAGATTCGACGGATTTTACTTTTTTTTTCTTGGTCATGACAGGGAGCACACGGTGGGTGTGACTGGTCTGCAGGGCATGCTCACTCCTCCATGGCACCTGATTCCACTTCTGATGTTTTGTTTTGGCAGTGTTTACTCCGCTCCTATTTTGTAATGCTTAATGGACCTTTGAGCTCGAATACTGTTCGTTTTCTCCACATATTTCATGTTATACTAGTATTTTGGGGATAAAAAAGAAACTTAACTTTATCCAATCGTTTCAAAATGAAACTCCTAGGATGCAGTTTTATTGAATCAACATCTTCTTAAATACGATCATACCTCCAATATAAACTGAACTGATGGCCACAAAAAGTAGCGGAGTTCTGTCCTTGAGAAAGAATAACTTTGTGACGGTCAACACTAAAGCTAGCATGAGTGCCAAAAATCCAAGAATGCTCATGGCTTGAGACGTTCGCAACTGGCGCTTTGGCATATCTGCAAAAATAATTTTTTCCCTTAAAAAATAGTTGAAATATAAATTATTTAATAAAATTTTTGTGTCATCTTAAGAAATAACAAATCTTTTTACTTAATTAAAATATTTTTTCACCGTGTTCTAGTAGGAAATCATCAGTATCCTTGCAATCACATTTCTTCCACAGACCAGTGTAAGTGGGATCATAAGAACTTCCTGGATCTAATGAATTTTCATCCGAAATCCAGTATGGTGAGGCTAAGCCAAGCAGCTGAAGGATGGTTGCGCAAATTATTAGAACCAGTGCAGTGATTAAAACTTTAGAACCATCCATATTGTTTCTTCTGAAATACAGAAATTAAATAATACACATTTCAGCTTATCATTCTCTTTCCTTTTTATTTTTCATACTTACTTAGTTTTATGAACTGTTCGATATTTGTCACAGATTTTATATTTTAATTTGTTCATACAATTGGTGCGCATTGTCAATTAAACACGATCGCTGCGTTTGTGTTGTGTGTCTTGTGTGGATGTTTTGAGAGGTCATGTGACATTGTTTATTTTGGTATCTCCACGTGTTTTCGTTTGAGTGACATAATGGGGCCTCACTGCTGACCAAAAACTGACCGTTTTATCTTTTTAATATGCATGTTTTAATTTCTGCACCTAGTATATCAGCCGCCAAATCTTGACCCCATGCTTTTTGCCTTTACGGTAGTATAGACTGCATAAACTGTATTTGAAAAGATAACAAAGTATTCTTCAAACTGAAGCATAACTTGGAGTTAATTTAACTGGATTCCTGGTAAGTTTTCTGTTTACCTTTATTATTGTTAAATGTTTTAGAAAAACATGTTTTATAATTTACTTTTATTAATTAATCCCGACACCGAACAATCATACAATGTATGTGTTGTTAATGTATGATGTTATGGTAGTACAAAACACCCCTGGATTCTATTTTTACTAATTTCTTAAAAAATACTGGAGAAAAAAGGAATACTATTACTACATGGACAACAATGAATGACCCCTGTAAGAAAAATAACAAGTTTTGGCATGGTTGCATCATATTTTGTGAAAAAATCAGAGAATCCTATATGTTGGTCACTTGGGAGTTTACATTTTGGAATGTGTTTACGCTATCTAAGTGCAATAAACAAGCATGTAACAGTCTGATATAAAATGCAGTGTAACTTTTGTTCAATAAATAATACAGGGCTGATATTTGGACACACATATAAGGAGTCTCCGTTCTTTGTGTACTATAAAGGTCAAGGTCATATCAGGAGGTCAAAGGTCAAATATTGTAACGTCATCTACTGAATCTTAAATATTTTTTGCCATATAAATTTTTTTAATCGCCAAAATATCAGAAACTACCGGTTCAGTTTTCTTTATTTTTACACATTTTATTCTGGGTCCCATTTTAGTCTTACAAAAATTGAATTATACATTTTTTCTTTAGAAAACTTCAAGTGTAGGATATTTACATGTGAATTTTCAATTCTGACGCTATGTATGTTCTATTTTTACTTAATATTTTTCTTAAATGGTCCAGTATCAATATGACTTACTAATTTAAAGTAACAAAAAGGTTATCTTTATCAGAATTATAACACAAACTTGCAATAGATCAATTGATAATTCTAAAATAAGGCTCATTCTCAAGTCGAGTGTCTGATTTCACAATCTTCTAACAGGAGTCTGATAGGCCATATTTCAGACAATGTGGGCAAAATATGTGCGGTTGAATTTCTTTCATATTATATATTAAGAGAGATTTTGTATCCTAGAACAAAATATCAAAGTTTCAGAAAAATTGAATTTGAGGAAAAATTTGGCCTATCTATTGTGTCCTACCTTAAATGTAAGTATTTGTCTTGTGTGTGTATTGTTGTGACAGTGTGTTTGATATACTTTGCAGGGTTTTTTTTGTTCTAAGCACATGAATAAATATTGTTTGTGCAGATTCCAGTGTCGAATTTTTATCCTGCAAAAGAGTCGGTGACATATTAATAAATCACGCTTTAAACTTGTTTTAACAACACATTATTTTTCTATGTGTAAACATATATTGCTGACACAGTCTCATTTAAACTGTAATTATTTGAAAATATTTAAATTATGACAGAAATTTGAATCGCGTGTAGAAAAAGATTAAAATAGTATTTATGACATCAAATCAAAGATTCAAAAAATTAAGACCAAAAATACTCACCTACTAAAATTTTCTGACCGAAGACCTTTGATTCACTTCAATGTTTTGCTTAACATAATAGTATGATATACGTTTCAGGAAGAGCCACTCAAGATATAAACAACGTTATTCAGTACACATATGGTGTTATGAATAGCAATTGCTTTGTTGGCATATTAAATGATACGCCTTTGCACATTTCATATATATACTTCTAGACGCATTATGCTAGTGTAGTAACTTGCACAGCACGTGCCAGTTTAAGAAAAAAATTGTTCTTATAGCAGAAGTTGCGTTTATAGTTCTATGAACGCATCATATGAGAGTAAGTTCATATTGAGAGGGAGTTAAAATATGTTAAAATACTAGCTGAATGGGGTCTTATGATGCTAACAGAACTATTCCAACTACTATCTCTCCGATTCTACCGACAGTTTATTAGACATGCTTATAGCATAAATATCACGAAATACTTCAAAGTCCCGCTGTTAGTTTAGGAATAGAATGGATTAGATAGTAATTCACCCATTTACATTTTTTTTAACTTCCACAAATATTAATTTAATTAAAAGCCTCTTCTTCTTACATGTTACAAAAGAAAATTTATTCTGTTGTACTTAAGAAATAAGGTATCTTTCTTTGAGTTTTATTGGGATGTAAAACGGGTTGGCACATGATCAAATCTATTGGATTTGATCACGTGACTAACCCATTTTACATCTCAAAAAAAAAAAAAACTATATTAAAAAAAATGATAACTTATTATTACTTATATTAACATTTGTGACTGAGTTATTACAAATATTAAGGTTCTAAAGTTTTAAACACATAAATAATTTATTTTTTTTTCAAAACTAATATATGTTGAACTATATTATTACTTATTATACTTCGGATGATCTGTTTCCATTTGCATCAAGGATAAGATAATGAATATGCAAATTAAACAACAAATTTGTCAGAATTTTAAAATAAAAAAAACTTAGTTTTCAACCCATATGTACATGCAGGCCTAAAAGATATCTTTTAAAAATAAAAGACTGTATTGAGAAAATCCACTGATATGTATTCATCAAAGAACACATTTTTAAAAGAAGTAATACGTATATTTTAAAATCAAATTGTATCATTTTATATGTCTTAACAAATAACTATGGCCAACAATCGACATTTATTTATAAAACAGCACAACTGACCAAGATATTTTCACAAATTCATTGCGATACCAATTGCTGAACATTCATTTCCATACCCATTCATGATAAATATTCGCCTCGATTTTCTTTTTGACATCGGGTTCGATACCATCTGACTTTATAGAACTTTCAACAAAGAGTGAGATCGGACATAACCGGAAAAGACTTGCACATTTTATTTATTTATCAATGACAAGAGCTTATTTTCTTTATATCACTTAAATCAAGTTTTGATTGAAAAATTCATCAATGACGTTTTTAAAAATAAGTACTAGTAAGCGCTTGTTTGTTGTCAGTTTTATTACAAAATACCAGAAACTTAGATCAGCAAACCGGAACCACCACTTTACTCTCTTTTATGATATTTTTAGGGGTAACCGAAAATAAAAGTAGACTTTTGATTAAATTTATGATAATTACTATGAGAGTTAAATCTTAATGTAGATTACACCACTTTACTCTCTTTTATGATATTTTTAGGGTGTTAACCGAAAATAAAAGTAGACTTTTGATTAAATTTATGATAATTACTATGCGAGATAAATCTTGATGTAGATTACGGACATCACCTAAAACCTAGTGTATTCCCACAGACTTAAGTAAGAACTCTTGTGCTGTCGCGTCGGAGTTTATTTGCAAAATCTGTAAATTTATAGGTATAGATTTATAGTATATATAGTGACCAAGCGTTTTACAATTTGAGAGTCCATGTGCTGCCAATTTGAAAGAATTTCCACCTGACTTTGAAGCAATTGCTTTAAAGTTAATAAAACTTTAGTTTGAAAATTATATAAATTCAAAAGCAGTACCACAAACTCTACTGCATCAAGCAGTGTTACAAACGTACTGTATTAAAAGGGGTGTACTACAGCTGTATTTAGGTAAACAATTATAATTAAGGTTTTACATAATATATCGAAAATCCTGAACATTGCGACAAATAATTCAGAAGTCTATTCCTGCGGCTTTTCATGCAAACTAGCATATTTTCTATTTATAGACGCCACATGACGATGTCGTTAAAGTCTAAAGAATGGATAATAAAATTAAATGTGTTTCAAGTAAATCTGCTGTGTCTTGATCTTGATATCTTTACAGCGGAGATTTCTTAAAAGATGTTTGTCTCATTCCTGAATAAAATTGTGATTGGTTAGCTATGTTTCATTTCAATTAAATAGCTCCGAAAGTAAGAAGGCTCTTAGAAGTTATATACAGTGTAAAAGAAAACAACTACAAGTGTTAATATTGTTTCCTATGATACATCAGGGTCTTCTTGAATTACAGTCTTCAGCAGTTGTTTCGACGCATCTGGAGAAAATACCTCAAATTAACAGAAAGATTCTTAATGATCAATTAACCAAAAAAACCATCCTGAGAGCATTATATTAGAAATATTAATCCCCTTACGGCAAGTGTGCTTTAGATCCCATTAAAACTGAAAATAATAATTTTATCAAAGTCTTTGAAGAGGAAAGAAGACTTATCAAAACCTCATCAAGGTAAAGTAACATACCAAAAAGCAACCCGATATCAGTAAGTGTTTAGAAGGACAAGTAAATTCTCGAGAGGGACGTTAAACAACATACAATTAATAAATCAATCATTTTAAAGAATGGAACAATTTGACGAAAATTCTCGAGACTAACGTTATAAAGATTCATATTCAGAGTTGTTTCAGTACCAACTCAAGTAACTCAAGTAAGGTGTTTAAATAATGCTTAAAAGATGAAATTTTAAAATCATAATCCTTGTACAGTAAAATGCACGTTTAGCACAAAAACGTTTATATCTTTTTCAAGGATATATTATCAGTAATGAGTCTGCTGTATATAAACGTTCAAGGAAATGTTTGTATTAAAAGATACTAGAAATACAGGATGGATTAATAAAATAAGGATTGGCACGCACTTAATAAATTTGGGAGTCCCCGACATCAGAAAGCCTTTCTTCTCCTACAAAATATCAACATAATGTCCACTAATATTTACAAATAGCCAATTGTGTATTAACATTTCGCTCACAAAGGAACACTGCTTCAGTGTTCAGGGGTTATATTTATACAATGGACATAAGCAGATGCGGAAAAGACGTATTTTCCTTTTAACCTTTCCCTTGACGCATGTATATCTTTAAAGGTTATTATCTGGAGGACCTGTCATATTGAGGATGTAATGCCTTTATGACGTTTTAAGTCTTACTCAAGTATAGACCTATCGGAGACACACGTTGCGAATTCCCTGATAATAGGACAATCAAGAAGGGGTGGGAAAAGTCCAAACTTTAATTATACTTTGTTGTAAGAAAAAAAATATATCATACAAATAAATTCATTGATATATAATTACTGATTAGACATAATAAATCTGCTGTTTTAGTATACATTGGGAAAATATTTGAAAATATTATTCGTAATAAAAATTTGTATATTATTTTTATTTTTTAGTCAAAAATATTTTTAAAAAAAAAACCCTTTAATCTATGTTAAATTGGAATGTTAACTATAGATGTCTGTTTATTCTCTCTTACTACAAAGGGCAGATCTCTCCTACTGCATTTAACTACCATAGGAATAAAAAAAAACTTTGATTAGCATTGCATATTAAAGGTGCAAAGAGCAGGCATACATGTACAACAAACGCTTAGTTTTTCTTGAAAGACTCTGTCTATGACGTTTTGTGGAGTTTTATTCATTTATTTTAGCAAAAACAATCAAATTTATTTACAATACATTACATGTATATCATGAAATATGTTCTTTTAATTATACTAAAACATTTATAATAAATACATGTCTACAAATTCAAGGTTCGAAATTAAATTTTGTAAATGGATATTTTTACTCCTTATAAAAAAGTGCAGCTGCAGTAAACGCATTTTAACCCCATTTCTAGGAAAGTGAGCTTTAATGAAAAAAGAAAAAAATGTCATTTTTTATTACAAGAATTAGATCCTTTCAAGAACAATCAACACCAACATCACACAAACTCCAAACCCTGTCACCATTCCTAAGATGCTGCAGGGGAACGCAAAGTGGTAGGTAAAAAGTTTTCCTGCGAATAAGTCATTCGTTTTGGCTGCATAGACCGCTATTGATATCAAAATGGCAAAAGCTACAAATAAAAAAAGAAAAACATTTCATAATCATCAACATTTGTAAGTAATATGTTTCGGTTTGTTTTAACTGTAAGACACGGAAGATAAGAATAAAAAAAAAACTGGATTACACTGTACATGAAATCTTTTAAAAGGCTAAATGTAAGTAATTAATTTAAAAGGGAGGATTCCATTTATCTACTAGTAACTATAAATATTGTTTTGTTCTGGAATAATAGAGGCATCGTAAATCATGTACAGATTTTGCAGGTTTGTAAAATCAAGATACAGTTTGATAATGAGTTATTTTTAATTGCAGCATAATATACAGATCATTGCTTAAAAGATATTGTTCTTTATAAAAAGAATTACTTGACGCAAGTGTTTGCATGTTTTTCCCCTATTTTTTTCTCCAGATTACATGTATTTTTGGGGGTTGGGTGGGGATGTCAATGCTCAGTTAGAATGGTAGAATGCTCAGATAGTCATACATGAATACGACAAGTCAAATGCAAATGTAGAATATTTTAAATTACTAATTTTAAAAATATATTTTAACAAAACACATTTTAGAAAAAAAAATTATTAGTCGGGTCCTCAAGTATCTGAATGAGTGCCTTGTTCCAAAGGGGTATTATTATAATAATTCTGCTCTCCTAAGTATTCATTATAACGTTATTTCAATCTTACATGTACATATATATTACCTCCAAGAAAATTTGTACCCAATGCCACAATAACGATTGGTTTTTGGTCCTTAAAAAGAAAAATCTTTAATCCCATCATGACTGCAGCAACAACAAGACTAATAAATCCGAAGATACTCAACCCTCGTACTGCCTTAAGCCAGCCGTCTATTAAGTTAGAAAATGTAGATTTAGTACAGATTTGTTACTCATGAAAAACAATGTAATTAATGAGGTCTACTTCATTTTTTATTTTGAATGTAAGACTTGAAGTGCATCAGATAATTAATAAAAAAAAAATCTTTGATCATAAATATTTCTTTAAATAAAAACCGAAAATATGCATTGTTTATGTATACCATCAGGATATAAGCCAGCACTGTCAACACAAATGGATCCAGATGTTGTACTTTGACACACCTTCCATAAACCAGCATTTGATTTCGAAAATATAATCCAATATGGTGACACCAAACCAATTAATTGAAAAATAACAGCACAACCCATTAACACCAGTAAAATGTACATGTTCAATTTGATCTTCTCCATGATAATCTTTCTACAAAATGAATGGGTAAATATTTTCAAACTTTTTTTTTTTTTACAAAACACTAAATTACAGACAAAATTTTCATAGCAAGATGATATAACTTATATGAATAAAAAACTAAACATGGCAAGAAACCTGAATAAATTTAAATTTTTATTACTATCTTAAAAATTCAATTCAGCTTATCGATTTTTTGAAAGTATTACATGCCATTGTATAAAAAAAATTATAAAACAAATTTCGAAGTTTGATTATATTTGAATTCAAATCAAATATATCTTAAATTAATAGATTACCAAGATAAATATATATCTCAATGCTGATTACGTAATTCTTATTAAAGTAGAATACAATACACAGGAGGAAGGATACCCAAATCAGGGAAATTTATTTCATAAGGAACCAACTCCTAGGCAGGACCATATTAAAATCTAATTTGAACCATGAATTTCCCTAGTTGTTGAAATTTCTTTCGATATCTAGCTTTAGAAAAGCCTTTTTGTTGGTTTTCTAGATAGCCGAACTATCTAGCGCACTGTTTTTTTTTAACTTTACATACAACTATTCCCCAAGATAAATTAAAGTCCAGGCTTTTTGACAGTTGCTTCTTTAAAATAAAAATTGAACTCGTTAGTTTACTTAACATGTCATTCTTCATTTGCGAAATTATTTTGTTAGAAAAACACTCTGTAGTTGATAAAAAAAAAAGATGACTGAACTTCTGATTGACAATATCTGTGGTTTTTAGAGAACGGGTTTTCCATCAACATACTTGAATTCCCATTGGTTCCAATTTTGCCCCGTTTTTAGCAAACCTATTTTTATATACATATTAAGCAACGTTTGTCCAAAATCTTAAACATGTACTTGAAAAGAAGAAAACACTAGTCTTGCTGTGTCCTCAAAATCGACATTTATATGACGTATTGTCAATTAATATTCACTTGTTATTTCCATTCTTATGTCAATATATGTACGACATATCCCGTTGAGCTTGAAATAAAAGATGCAAGAGTCTGACACACCTCTTTCATATTTAGATATATATTTTACTTGAAAAAGACGTTAATGGTAATCTAACAACCAAGTTTTATGATAAACGTGAATACTTTGACTTTTCACGCGTCAACTTCCTTTTCTTATGCAACAATATACATTCACCTGCATACGGGGTTTATATCTCAGTTGACTCGATACGCGAGAGTACGCTTTACGTATGAACGATTTCTAAAACGAGATATATTATTGTCACACATTGTCATTGCTGAATGAAGAATATCATCAGACTCGTTGGTCGATATAAAGACCTTGTAAGCAAATTTATCGTTATGTCAAATGCTGACTGACGTTTTTAATGCTAATTCTTAGGTCATTACATACATAATTAATTGTCGTCGGATTTTTCCGTACGCGTATTTCCTGATTATGACAAGGAGCAGATGGCGGATGTGACCAGTCGGCAGGGAAAACTCACTTCTCCATGGCACCTGATCCCACCTCTGATATTCTTATTCATATGTCGGTTCTTTATCTCCATATATTTCATGCTAAGGTACTTCTCGGGGAGAGTTGGTTGGCAAATCATGTCGAATTAGATTATTTATTTACATGGTCTTGCAGGAAAGAAAGTGTCCAAGATGACCTGAGACAAGGAGAAGAAGAAGAAAATCTACCCAATCCCGATAACTCCATTTTTTAAGTGGATGGGTGGGGTGGGGATAGGAACCAGGTACCTCCATTTAAGATCAAACTATTTTTTTCTCAGACAACATATATAATGACTGATTATTTATTTGCCATCAGTCAGCGCTCCCCTTAACTTTTATCTATGTTCAAGAAAGCTCACAAAATGGTACTAAAAAGAACTGACACTGTAAAAAACATATCATAACAGTTTGTCGAAAAGATACAGTAACTTTAGTTTATCATGAGAACCATATCATTTATCATGAAAGTCATATTCAATTTGTCTATTCCTGATTATGATTTTAATTTAAATACCAATCAACCAATAGTTCAAGATAATTGCTATTGAAGGGTTTTTTTTTAGTGCTGATTAGATATAGCAAATTAAGCAGATTATTATCTTATGTTAAGGCTAGATAGAGCGCAGAAATATAACTTACTGTAGCTAAATGTAATATCACACTATTTCTACGGCGGTTTTGATAAGATCTAGTAAACAACTTGATTTCATTACATGTATGTAATATCCTGTTATTTGTACTTGAGTTTTAAGATGTTTATTTCACCAATCCCTTAGAATTGTTGTTAAAAACAACGCAATTTCTTATATGCCCCTTTAATTTCAGATTTGGCGGCATATTGTTTTATCTGTCTATTTGTCTGGTTGTTTGTCCGCAAGAGCTTTAATCCTACATATAGTGTACTGGAATTTGGGTGATTGGATTTTTATGTTTAACATGCGTATTTTTTGTGACAAGAGGATTTTTAATCTTCTTTTGCACAGTTTGACCAATCTCAAATTTTGAACATACATGTAACTATTAAACGGTTGCTACAAGGTCCTTCATGTTTTACACATGTATGTAAAAAGAATTCCATATAACCAAATTGTTTTCGGGAAAGGAGATCCCAATTTCAATAAATTATGATCATTTAACTAATGTAGCTTCCTTTAAAGATACATTTTTTTCTTTATATCCTTGCACATTTTTAAAACATAATAAAATGTTTAACAGCTGTTCGTGATTAAGTGTTATTTGCTGCATAAAGTGGGGTCTGGACATAAGTACAATGAAAAATAAAGTTCTGTAAACAATGAATAATTTAAACAAAGCTTTCCCTCCTAATAAAAAAAAAACGAGATTATGTCGTAATCGAAGATTCGGGCGTATATAGTTTTTTTTCGTGTCCGCCCGTCTGTCTGTCTGTTGGTGCGCAAAAACTTTAACCTTGCCAATAACTTTTGATTTAGTGGAGATTTCACTTTCGTATTTCAAATGTGTATTCCTTGTGACAAAACCTTTCTTTGGATACCACCAAAATTGACCTATTGATCTTGGAGTTTGACGTACTTTTACACAAAAATTCCAAATTTTTACCTTGTCCATAACTTTTGAACGGTAGATATAGGACTTTCATATTCCACATATATATTTTTTGTGACAACACCTTCCATTTGACACCAACAACTTTGACCTTGGCATAGGGGAATTATGTACTTTTGAAAAATTTTAACCTCGGTCATAACTTTAACACGGTAAAGGGTAGGATTTTCGAACATCAAATATGTAATTCTTGGTAGAAGAACTTTCATTGGATACCATGAACTTCACCCTTTGACGTTGACCTTGGAGTTTGACCTACTTTTTAAAAACAAGCTTCACCATACCAATTGAAGGGTTAGGGCCAGAGCTTTCATAATTCATATATTTAATCCTTGAGAAAAGACCTTTCCTTGGATACCAACAACTTTGACCCTTGACGTTGAGTTTGACCTACTTTTTAAAAATATAAACTTGGGCATAGATTTTGAACGTGTAGGGCAAGGACTTTCATTCCCTTCGCGGTGCCCAACTCTTACCCGCAACTCTTCTTATACTACTGAATGAATTTAATGAAACATTCTCAGAATTTTTGTTATATCGTGCTATTGTGCACCTCCTATTTTACTTTATTGATCGGACGCATTTTTCGGGTTTCCCATAGCAAAACATAGACACGGTCATTCTTTCTATAATATTGAAGGCTATCCTTCTCTTATCTGCAACTCCTCCTATACCATTGAATGAAATTGAATGATAATTTTACAGATTCTTTATTTCATAATCATGGCATTGTGCACCTCCAACTTTATTTTTTGATCTAACACTTATTTCGTGTCTCCCAAAACAAACAATGGACTTTGCCATTATAATCTATGGAGGTATGGGAGGTGTGGGGGTATCATTTATGGAGCTCAATGCTCACGGTACTTGTAGTGTTTACATGTCGTAAAATCGAGTTAATGTTTGATAGTGAAGGTACATTTATTTAATCTGGAATTTTACATGAATACCGACGACTTTGAAGGATTGCATAGATACAGATGATTCATATGGTTGTCAGGGATGTTTGTCATCTAATTAGCGGAGATTTTTAATTCAATTCAATTCGAGGACTCCACGGTACGGACGCTTTGTGGCTCTAATACGACCGTTTTTACAAAACAAAGAAACGTAGCAGGTTTCAGTAAATGTTCAACCAAGCCTCTTTCTTTAATCCTCACTTAGATATTAACAGTAGTAAGAGAATCTCCAAGAGAATTGTGGAACAACATATTCAAGAAGTAGTGTAAATCAGATGTGGAAACTTAAATATTCAAAGGAACTGTTGGACAATCTGAAATCACAACACCTTAAAAACTTACGACTTTTCAACTTTATACACAAACAATCTCCACGATCAATTAAAGTCAAGGCTTTTTTTATATAACTGAATGTTGCTTTTTCAATGAAAAAAAAACGGAACGTACCTTGTCATTGGTCATTTGCAAAATTTTGTTTAAAAACACTGATTGTAAACTCTCAAGTACTCTGAAGTAAAAAAGATGCTCGAGTTTTTGATTGACAATATCTATGTGGTTTTTGGAGACCAGGTCCTCCAACAAATTTTGTTACTCCTATGGCTACCAATTGCGCCCCCTTATTAGCAGAACTATTTTTGTATTCATTTGAAGCAAACTTTGTCCAAATCTTTTACTTGAAAAGATGAAAACCCTTGTTATGGCATTCAACTCGACATTTATAGTGATATATCGACGACGTATTTCAAAAAAACAATGGTAATTTTCATTCTTCATTCTATGTCGATATGATATACATGTATCCTTGTGAGCTTGAGAAAAAAGATACCACATAGTCTTACACATTTGTTTCATATTTGGATATTTTACTTGATAAGACGATAATGATAATCTAGCAGCCAAGCTATATGAAAAATAGGATGAAATTAACTTTTCAATCGTCCACTTCCCTTACTTATACAATCTACATGTTGATTCGATACGCAAAAGCATTTTCTACGTATGAACA